TGCTGTATTACATTGCATCGTTTACTTGACTTATGATTCGCTCACAGTGACCTGCAGGCTGGGGGCGGCTGCTGACAAATTAAGGTCATTTCTCTGCTCACAATACTGTATGTCAGCTGGGAGCCTATAGATACTACACGTACACTTCGCAGGCAATAAAAGCAAACAGAAAATGAAGAATTCTTCACGGAGAAAATGTCACTGTGGACATGAGGAAAATGTGCAAACACCTGCGAGCGCCGACTTTGCAAACGCGCCGACAATAATCTCCTCCCTTGACTCGGACACAGACACATGAAATATGATCACATGAGTCCAGCAGGGAGACAGATGTGATTTCGGGAATAAAATAGCTCCTCTTCATTTCATCGCCTCCAGAGAATGAAATTACAGCAACGGTGATGAATGTTGCTCCTTAACACCCGTCTATTAACCCTTAATTACTGAACAAGTCGGTGTGAAATTGGTCAGACGGCTATGCACTTTTACCGTAATCTCCTTCGTTTTTTCCGCTAAATGGTTTAGGTTTTTATTTCAACATCCTTAATGTGCTAATGATATCATGCAAAGAAAAATAAATTTCACTGTCTCTCCCTGAGCATGAAACACCTGTTTCCTGTCATTCTCTCCGATGTAATGTTAGCATTATTGGTTAATTTGATTTAATTTTTATACCGCATTATTTCTCTGCATGAAAAGAAGCGTAATTACGGTTAAACAACACACTCCTGTTTTCCCTGGGATGACTGACGTCCTCTATCAGCCTCCCAGACAGCGATCGCCACAGGCGCTACTTTCACGCAGCCAGAGGAAATCTGCTTTTTCTTCTGTTTTGACACTGAAAAACAAAAACAGGAAAATCTGGCATCGTGGCACAGTGTGAGAATTCTGCAGAATCAATATAAACACTGGGAAGGGAGAGACAACGGATGGTGCCGAGCCTCGAGATCATGCATACTGATAGCATGGCTGATACACTGTACACAAAGACTATAAAGTCTAAAAAAAAACCAAGTAAAATTGTTTTGAAATAACAGAGACCGTCTGCCAGCCCAGTTTGAACAACTGATTGTAATACTACCCCGCAACACTAGTTGGCATCAACATACTACCACCAAATTTAGTGCAATCCACTGTATAGCGTTCAACTATACAATGTAAACAAAAGTGCTGCGTGATGACATATTTCTCCACTATCCAAGTGTCTGTGTTCCTGTGCTAACAAGTTGATGAGTTTTTCATGCTGTGTCTGAATGATGGAACAACGACTTTCTTAATAAATTTATGTGAGATCGCGACATAACCACAAAACTCCATAGGTCAAGGACATCACAAACCAACAACCCCTTGTATGTATGCCCTGTTTAAATCCCATTCCACTTCTCTTTCTCCTTCTCTTGAGTCAAGTCACTGCATGGGTCCTGGACTCAACACTGCCACACAGTGTTATTGTTATGCTTTAAGACCACGTCCTCAGTGTCACAGCCTCGCACAGAAATTCCTGAGAGACTCAGTGAGTCAGATTAGGAGCCCAACTTCAGACGACGGTCTCCTCTTTGATGAATAAATCTTCTGAAGTTGAAATAATGTAAAATTTAAATCCATCTGCTGCATTAAGAGACAGATGGCGGCTCCTGCTAAAAGTAGCAGCCTCCACCACCATACACATTCACACTTTGTTATGCAGTAATTCGTTTCACTGTAGATCAATCTGTTCACATGACGTGATGCGGGCTCGGAGGAGCGTGCCTCAGACATTCCACATAAACCCTGATAAGTCACTGGGAATCCTCTGAAAGCCCATAATATTCCGCAAACACGGAGCTCTGTGGGCCACATGCAAACATCTGGCAGAGTCTAAGTGACCGGAGCTAACAGTGAGAACGACAGTTGGAGGCAGCGGCATCAAACACACTGTGCATTAAAGAGGAATCAAACTGTAGCTGGAGCTTTGAGATTCTCTTTAATGTTTTCCTAAACCTATATTAACATTTTTATTAGCTGAAACTACCCTTTAAACCAGGGGTCTCAAACTGTGGCACTGGGCCCCACTGAGCCCACAAATCCCATAAAATGGCCTGCAACTAGATGCCAATAACGTTTTCATTTTGCTCTTGAGGATTTTTAAAAGAAATATGCCAATGAATGGCAACAACTGGTGTTGCCAGATTTGGCAAAAGAAACAAGCAGAAAGTAAGTAAAATTCCTGTTTGCCAAGAAGATAGTTAGAAGTAAGCGAACAGGTTAGTAAAAGCTAACCCAGGAAAAGCAAATGTTATAATTTAACCAAATAGAGACAGATGTTTCTTCCAATGCTGGCCTCATACTTTGCCTTAGCATATTCAACAAACCCAAGCTATATATTATGTACAATATAACCATGTATTTATTTCTGTACATTTCCATCTGCTGCGGGTAACGAGCTGCTGTCAGTTTATTTTGCTTTCAGTCCTAATATATGGCTGCATCTCTGCTGCTGATGTTCAGAATAATTGGCATGAATTAAATGAAAGAAACACAAAATGAAAGAAAATGCACCGCTGTTAAAAACCTGTTCTTTTTTTTCCAAGTATCTTCATGTTATTTATATCATAAATCTCTGACTGCTTACATTAAACAGCCTGTGAAATGATTTCACACCTCATTAAATCAGATTATTATCACTTCCAAGGAAGGATGTCTGGGCATCTCTCATCGCCAACACACCTAAATAACCTGCTATGTTGAATTTAAATATATATATATATATGATTGACACTGTAGATGCAGTGACATATATGATATAGTAAGATACCGTAATATATTATATCAAATATACACAATGGCCTACAATGTGACAATCGTCAGACATAAGCTGCCAAAACTACAGCAAAAACAGTTTGCCTATTTAGCTGCTAGATAGCTAATGGAAGGTTTAACACGATTACATTTTAAAAATTGATAGCAGCTTAAATGCTCACCAAATTATCCCAAAACCAATTGCAAAAAAAAAAAAAAAAGCCAGATCACAGGAAAAATAAGTTCAATTTTGTTCTTATTTTCTGAACTTTTTAGACCAAGGTTACAACAGTATCTGTGCAAGAGAGAAAAACATATCATCTCCACCTTTCAAATCCACAGGAGGTTTCACTTTAGATGTTAACAACAGATTCCCCGGGGAGTGTTTTCTCAAAACTAAAGGTTATTTCATGAAACTGGGAGCAGCATGAATATGGCAGAGCAAGTGGATGTTAATTGTGGTGCCATTTTAAATATAATAATTTGAGCAAAACATTTTTAACTTAGATTACTGTTTGTGTACTATATTTTGCCTGTATATTTGGAGGTTTTTTTAATGAGGTAAAATCATTATTTTTTAAATAACATTACATAAATGATTAACAATAAAAACTGAATATTTATAACCTTGTGTCCCTCATCCTGTTCTAACTAAACACCAAAATCTATTTTTAAAAAAGTGAATTTTCCTTTGTAGCACAGCAATGAAGACAATATATAAAAATTGGATTTCTTTTTTTTCCCCTAAAATACAAAGTCTTTAGCTCCTGCCTCCCCGTCAGCTTAAATGACTGATTTTCTTAATGGACTTTGGTGCATCGGAAAGTACGGGTTTGACGAAGACACTGCGACAAACCTGTGTGGATCATCATCATAAGCCTTACAGTCTTCATGTTGGAGTTGAAAGCCCGGCCCACCCTGAGGGGGGTGTCATAAACAGGTGCGTGAGCAGCTGGATTAGAACGGAGCCCGGCTGCAGGAGCATCAGTGAAGGAGCATCAGTGAAGGAGCATCAGTGAAGGAGCAGTGAGGACGACGATCAGAGTGGGAGGAGATGAGTGGTGCTGGCTTCAGACCACACATGACAGCCCACAGGGATGGGGAGTGATTGCAGCATTCCTCCACCCCAACTCCCACCCTCTCATCCCCTCGCACTAATGAGGCCATTTGGCAAATGGACTTAGAAATAAGTCCTCAGGGTTTAATGTCCTTCACAGCCGCTGCTGCATTTACTGTACGACACTCTGCACAAAAAGAGTCTAAACCTGCTGGTGATGTTAAAGATGATAATCACCGCTGCTGCTGCTGCTCTCATAGTTTTGAGATTTTAACGAGTTTTAAATGAAGTCCAATGGTAATATACTATAAAGTGTATTAGGAAAGTAGAATAAAATCTGTCCACTAATAACTTTTGGCTTCTTTTTTAGATATGTATTACCATCATTTTGGGTTAACATTTCTGTGATCATTTTGAATCATATTTAATTATTTTACTTAACTTTTAGCATTTTCCAAAATTAGCTATTGTTGGCTACATTATAAAAAAATAACCTTTTTGCTAACTTCAAGGTTTTTGATATTTTTAAAAGACAGTTTTAGCTGCAAAAAGGTACATTTAGTGAAAAGCTTTTAGTAAAATCATTTATACTGTTCCTGCATTTTTTACCCTTAGCTATTTTTAGGTTGTATTTATACTGTTCCTGCATACACTGTTTTTTTACCCTTAGCTATTTTTAGGTTGACCTTTTAGCTAGGTGTTATGTAATTCTTGGCTAGCTTTGGGCTACTTTCACTGCCCTTTGCCATTGTAGTTCAACCTTTAACTAATATAATACTATTTTAAACGTTTGGGTTGTCTTTATTTAATGTTTTGCTTTTTAATATCCATTTGATCTCACATTTAGTTTTATATGTTATATTATTGGATAGTCTTTAGCAAATGATGCTAAAGTTGTGGCTTTCTTCTTAACTACCCTACATATTATCTTTTTTTAAAACAAATACTGTATGATCAAATACTTTAAATGTTGCCTTCCATATATGACAAATATATAAAAGAAGAGTGTGCTACAGAAGCCAGGTTAGGGATTGTTAAAGTTTGAAAGTTTCTTATTGTTGAAGTTAGAAAGGTTTCCTTAGCTTCAGGGTGATTAAGAAGGATGCTTTGTATCTCTACAGATAAATTAAGACCGTTTCTGTTCAACCATGACAAAGAGACTCACTCAGCTCGGCGATGCTGCCCACGCGGGTAGCCAGGAGGGACTGTTCCAGAGTTCGGAGCTCGGCCTGTGTGTATCCATGACCTTCTCCACTCCGACTGGAACGTTGCTGCTGCTGCTGCTGCTGCTGCTGTGGCTGTTGCTGCTGGTCCCGGTGCAGGTTCAGACTCTCGGGCAGACTCAGAACTCCTGCAGAGAGACAACAGAGAAAAGACAAAAGAAGGTCAAAAACAAGAGAGACTTCAGAGGTCACCGAAACTTTCTCTTTACAGCTTCTTAAAGAACTATAATTCCATAATAGAGGAGAATCAGCCTGAGCCAGGCTGGATGTTAGCCTGGTTCTAATGCTTCTATAGCTACATTTGTAAAAAGACAAATTATTTATTTGACCAATGCAAAGAAGAGAAAAGAAGAGTCTGGGATAGTTTCTGTATTTTTGTTGAGAAAGTTATCAAACTCTATGCAGCTCATTTGCATAATCCTCATGGGATTTGCACTACAGTGAGAACACTGACACACAGTCCTGGAGAGTGAGCTTCTCCAACATTTCCCTGTGATCACAGGTTAGGTTCTTTGTCGCAGCAGATGAAGTAGATCATACAGGACAGATTCAAATCCATTCTGATGCCTTGGCTGCAGCCAGATTCCGTTAAGCAGCATAGAATGGCTCGTGACAGATGGAATATTGGGAATGGGAATCAACGCCCACCGAGTGCTAATCCTAATGACTCAGCACAGGAGTGGGAAGAGGGCGAGTGCTGCACGTTTAAACAAACAGTAATTACATCACAGTGGAACTTTGTCGGCCGCTGGACCATAAAACAAAAGAGACACACAGTGGTCACTCACTCCAGGGCCTCATCCTGCAGCAGCAGTGCTGCTTCTGTGGAAAAGAGGCCAAGAGTTCAGATCAGGATTCCTTCCTCCATCACTTGTTCCCAACATGACCAGCCCAAGAATTCCAGTATTCCCCAGCCGAAAGCCAACTCCCTTTTCTTCCCACAGCCTTTCCGGGGAGGTTGTCTTAATTATTCCTACAGATTATTTTTCCATTGCCGCTCGGTCACTGAGCGTATGGATGGAGCAGCTGGTATTGGGGTGTGTCTCCAAGAATGTTTGAAGGATGTCTGTGGTTCAGTATTGTAGAGGTTTCTCCAGAAGGGAGAAAAAATAGAAACTGTGAGAGAAAAGCTGTTTCAAAGGTGTCATTTTAAGTTTCCTTTACAGTGATTTGAGTTTAAATTCTTCGGATGTGGATTTAGTGGCTTCAACGTTTGGATTTTGCACCCTTTCCAAGAACTGATGGGAAAAACAGAAACATTACTTAAGACCTACCAACCAAACACATAACAACTCCTACTCTATAACACAAAGATTCTGACTATACCATCACTCCACTCACACTCCACAGCTGCAGTTTCCAAATGAACTCAGTTCCTCAAACTTTTCTGTCCTGTACTTTTCTTCGGTCCCTCCCTGAGGATGTGATTTAACCACATCCACTTTCAGGGCCGTAATCAACCAAACAAAGCCTTGGTCGACTGAAGCCATGAAATTTTGACTAAAAATCGACTAATTTCCACCCAGAGTGATACACAAATAGACTAATAACTTAAAAAGTTTAGTTTAAACAAGAGAAGAAACATGACAAGTTGAAAAAATGAAGCATTTGGATGATAGAAGAGGCTTAACATCCAGTGTGGTCTGGGTGTATCTGAAGATCTGATGCCGTTGTTGTGGACGGGTGCTTCTCAAAACCTCACAGCCCTCCCTGGGCCGAACTTCAACTCCAAACATCTATGAACCATCACAACTTTTAACCCACCCACTCTTATACTAACAGTTCATTTAGACCTACCTATCCCCTGTCTACTTTCCTTCCTCTCTCTCTCTCTCTCTCTCTCTCTACCTTCCTACCTTTTTGAACTCTAAACTAAAAGGCAAAGTTGATTCAAACCTCAAACCTTTGTGTTTTAAGGAAGCAACTCTATCCACCACCCCATCATGCTGCCCTAGATAAAAACATCAAGGAGATTAAACTTCCACTTCCAGCTAAAAGAGTAACAGCAATCTTTTATAAACATCATGTTGTTTCTGCTCCTCAGCACTTTTTTAAGCTCGGCAAATGTCCTGGGATTTCAGAGCTTAGAAGATAGAAACCCTGAAAAAAGACTTCAGAGGGAGCAGTGGAGAAAAAATACCAGGATTTCCTCCAAAAAAGGGAGTTTTCTGTCTCACTCTCTGTCTCTTGACCTCAGATGAAGCGCAGAAATCTTTACCATTTATTAAAACGCACTCAAACCCGACTCTGTTGTGGAGTTTCACTCTTGTATTGTTGGCACTCAAACCGGACTCTGTTGTGGAGTTTCAGTCTTGTATGTTTTTGTCGTGGAGAGGGGAAGAAGAGGAACTTTCACAATTCACATGGCTCTCTGTAATCAGACTTTGCATCTTCACCACTGTCACCTCTTCCAAACCTCTGTTTTTTCTGCCCCTCTACTAATGCCCAGAGCTATTCTTCTAATATAATTCTGGGGTGGCAGGGAGTCCTCTGCTGAATAATTCATACTGTCAGATGAAGACGTATAAACAAGTCTGCAGCTCCCTCCTTCGACACCGCCCACTCTCTCTACATGTTATCTCTCACGAACACTCGACTTCTCCATATAGAAATAAGAGATAAAAAAAAACATTAAATATTTGATCCTAGGTGCAGTTTGTGTGGTAAACATCAGAGGTGAGAAAGCAAGCAGTCTGGCCCTGACGAGATGTGGCAAACAGAAATTGGTGAAGACGCAGGAAAAGGAGAGGATGCTTATGCAAACGTTAGGTTTAGAAAATCCTCGGTGCCAATACAATTGTCCACAACAAGGATGGTCAGTCTTTATCGGTAAAGAACTGCACAGCAACATGTCACTCTCATCCATTTTGATTTGCTGCCCAGGAAAGGCAACCCTTATAGATGCCAAAATGACGTGACGATTAGCCTCATTAGCCTGCCCTGCTAATTTCTCTGTCTTAGTAAAAAGTTTAAAAAAACAAACCAATAAAACAACCAATACTATAAAATCCAGCCCAAACAATCATCTACTCAAACTTTAATTCTTATGCAGCTTCAAAACAGCTGGGAATAATATAAAAATGCTAGTCAAGGTCAAGGTCAAGGTCAGCTTTATTGTCAATACCTTCACATGTACAGAACATACAGAGGTATCGAAATTACGTTCCTCGCCTTCCCGTGCGCTGACAGACATAGACAATACTGAACGAAAAACATTAAGGTGCAACAACAATAAGGTGTAGTGTAGTGTAGTTGGCTAATGTATTGTTAGCACAAATACAGTATGGTTTCTTTGGGCAAAATATTTTTGTGTAAATAATATTATTTATTTTTGGAATTTTGTTGTCCCCTCTTTAAAAAATAAAATCACAAAAAAATGGTATCCTCTATTACTCATGCCTCATGAATATATCAAAAAAGGAGTTGACAAGTTGTTTTATTAACGCTGCAGCTCGGAGCTTTAGAGCAGAAAATTACCAAACCGTGGTGTTTTTGTTTTACAGTTTCAAGTTTGCCAGATTAAATAATTGCTTTTATCAAGTCTCTGTCAGTGCTTTCGTTTGTAGCTTTTGACTAAATTATAAAAATCTCCCTTTTCTCCAAGAATGATGTATTGCTGCAAAGAAAGTTTTTACAGTATGTGTCGACTTATTCCTGTTCAACATTCTCCACATTATTCACAACAACATGCTTGGGCAGCAGTATTTCTACAGCCAGGACTCACGGGAGTTTGGTCAGCACAGTGCTGGGAGCATTAAAGCAGTGTTTACCATCTGACCTCATCTCCATGTTGAAATTGCAGGACGTATCTGTTTGTGTATTTGTCGAACGCACATGTACTCAAACATAGCCGTGTGAAGGTCAAGAAAGAGATATGACTGAAGCAATGGAGAAACATAAAGATAAAAAATCTCATCTACTGTGGTAGGATTGTACTGAATAGAAAATACTGTTTATTTATGGTTCATACGTATCTAAAAGGTTATACTACTACAATGAAAAACTATATTGTTAACACTTGAAAAATGTATTTAAGAGGGTTACAGTATATTCAAATAACTCATAACTTTGAACTATCATTACTTTTTTTAAAAAATATAGAGCTCAGACATTACCCATAACTATTACTTTTTTTTTTTAAATATAGGCTTAATATAGAGCTCAGACATTACCCATAACCAACTTTTTTTTTAAATATATAGAGCTCAGACATTACCCATAACTTGCGTGCGTCTTATTGAACATTTGGCTGTAGGTCTAAATTTCCTTGATTATTCAGGTCTCGGTTCCTTTCATAGCGCTCAGAAATCAATTACTGCTTGTGGGTGTGAGACAAATGTGCCACAAAAAACCCACTGACGTGTTTGTGTGTTAATCGCTCGTTAATCAGTGTTTCCTGCCTCCTGCACGAGATGAAAAAAGACTCTTTTCAGAAGAAGAGAAATAAAGGTGAGTGTTTTCAGGACTGTTAGCGATCAAGCTTGAGGTGAAATTAAATTCGTGACCACTGCCATCTCTTCACATGACGGACAAGCAATCATCCTCTGAATGGCTTTACCACACTGGAGCAAAGAAACTTCAATCCTTAATTCCCCTGACCTTTGAACAGTCTCATCTGAAGAACAAAGAAGAGACAAGGAGACCTCTTAAAGGACTGTTAGAGAAATGACCTTCCAATGAGATCATCAGGATGATGACATTTTCATTTGTCTTCAGAGCTGATGTAACTCTCTGTGGCATCAGTTCAACAAAATCCTGGCAGCGCTTAGTCCATATAGACATGGCACCATCAGACAGAGTTCTCAGATGTACAGTTATGGTGCAATTCTGCTGTTCTAACCCAACCTATTGCTGTATTATGTTGTATTTGATATCTGACTATATTCATCTATGATGTCAAATAAATGTTAAAGATGTTTTGTTATAATGGAAATACACAAGTAGAGTTGTTTAAGAAATAACGCCCAAGGCAAAAATATACCCTGAAACTAAAAGCATCATCCCTGAACTCAAGCATTGATATAAGTGGATACTTGAATGTGTTGTTTATGACAGGTTCTGCACTTTATATAGATCCGAGAGCAGACTCTGTAGAAAGCCTGTAACTAATGGCACTGCAAACCTACTTCACTCAGGCACACTAGTGAAAAGAAAAGAAGGATCAGTGGTCAATGTTATCAGTTTCTGATAGTTTATCTGTTAATAATGTATGGTTTTTATTAGTAGATAATGAAATTCAAGCTGTCAACACCAAACAGGTGCTAAAAGAACATCTGGATGGTTTTTGGTTTGTCCGTTACAAAAAAGCTAGACTAAGTTAGTATGAATTGCATGCATTGGCATGACATGAGAATCTTCAACATATCCTATTTTGTATGGGTAAAAATACACTTATCTTAATAGATTTTTATATATTTTTTTTTTAAAACTTTTATTGATGAAAAATTATTGCAGACTGTACTGAATCAATATTTCTACTTAAAGCATTGTCAGCACAAGACTGTTCAATTGTTAATCCTGTTTGTCCCACAACTTGGATTTATATTTTGGCCCCTCGAGTGATTGAGTTTGATGCCCTTGCTCTACACCCTGTCCAGGGTTATTTCTCAGACGTGTCACTTTCTTCTTTGTACATAATGTTCAATTTCTTTAAAGGCCACCAAGTCCAGATAATTCAGTTGTTGGCATCATTTGGGAAAATCTGTAGTATTCAATGGACATTTAATACTGCAGTGTCCAAGAAGAGGTTGCCCTGGTTCACGGAAATATTACAGACACCTAAATTCAGGAAGAGCTTTGGAGGAAGTTGACATCACTGTAGTCACGACTCCACAACCCACAGCAGATTCCTACAGCTGAATTTAATTAGAGAACGGGAACATTTTACATCAAGACATCTACGGAAAGTGGGTGAGGAATGTGCCTGACAGGATCTTTACCCACGCAGAAACTACTGTTTTAGCTAACGGCCTAAAATCTGCTGTTACAGCTGAAAAGATACCAGTGGTCAAACTGAGGCTGTCGTCATACACAGCTGCTTATCAAACACAAGGGATAAAGATTACAGATGGTTTCAAAGTGTCAAAATCACAGAAAAGTAAAATTTGGACTGGACGTAACAGGCGACATTTTCAGTCTTTCATTATTCATTCTCTGTCAGTCTGGGTCAACTGCAGCCTCACTTTCGTGTTCTTTCATGACTAATAAGATCCCACAGAAGAATAATGCAATACACAGACTATATACAGTAATCAAACTGTGTCCAAAACCAAAATGCAAATATAAATTTTCCAAACCTAAGAAACATTTATGACCAAAATTATTATTATTTAATAATCCCTAGATTTAAATTGGAGAGATATTTCCATCCCTACATGGCTTAATTGATTCATGGAGTGTTCTTAATAAAGTGACCAGTAAGAAAGGGTCATGGATTGTTGTGTTGACTTTAAGTGGAGCACCTCTGACAGATGTAGGAAACAGAAAAAACCTATTTACATATGAGGCTCAGTTCAGGCTTTGTTTTCCACAGGAATGGCCATCGATTTTCTCTTTCAATCCTTCTTCCTCCTTTCTCTGTCGGTAGGGACACCGTGCTAGAATATTAACAGGTAGATGCCATGGAAACAGCCGACGGTTGCTTAACTGTGTTGTGATTGGTTAAGTACCAGGGTTTTTTTTTCTAAAGTGTAAAGAAAGCTCATGTACATAGAAAACACAACATGGCTCAGTGAAGGGGAAGGCCTTTACATGGTCGAACATAAACAATAACGCTGGAAAGAAATATACTGCACGTACTGTAGGTAGTTAAAAAGAAGGTGTAAGAAAAAAAAAAGAATTGCTAAAAAAAAGACCTAAAATTTATAAAAATAAAATGATAGCTGCAAGCTAGAAGTTCAACTGAGAAGTGCTAGCAATATTAGCAGACAAATACAACTTTATGTGTACAAAATAAATTATGAGTAACGCCGTTTCCCAAATATTCAACAAGTACATGTTAACGTCTTCTAATTGCATGTATTTTAACACACGCAAACGAACTGTGATGGAACGGTTCCACTAGGAGCCGCTGGCAGCGCATTGAGGCACTGACTCATAATCAGGATAACCGCACACACGCTATGCCCCGTTCTTTTTTATGTAACACGCACATCCATAAAACAATACTCAAAATTTGTTATCGCATCACTGCATTGTTAACATACCGTTAAAGTTGCGCCGACAGAATTCGCCTCTCGTAGCGGAAACATCGCCTCACCAAACAATCTCCGAACCGGAACTTCCGGTCATCATAATTTCCACATTCATACTCAATTTCGCGGGCTTCAACAGTCACGTGATCATTTATAAACATACCGTACATCTATGGGGGATATTTTGTGATTGAAACCTGATGTTCGGAGTTTGACTTATTAAATTATATTAAACCTGTGTAACGTTAATAACTGACTACAGAAATATATTATGTTGCCTGGTGGGAAGGACAAGGGGAATAAAAGGGCTGTTAAGAAGAACAACAGTTTGTTTTGTTGAAAATATTAAAGAATTCAGTATTATTGAAAAATATTTGTTGAAAATATTAAAGAATTCAGTATTATTTTGTTGTTCTAAATATTGTAAAGTATTTTCTTGATCAGTTGTACTTTTTGCATAACTTATTTTTCTTCTCTTTTCTTTTTTTTTTTTTTTTGTCATTTTGTGCCCATTGGGAAGAAAAAAATCCCATGTATATTTGCACAGTAGAAATGCAGATAAACTCAATTGCACTGATTACATTATAAAAATAGGTAAAAATGAACATTTTACCACAATATTTCATCAAACCAGAACCAGTAAAGAGAAGACAAACATGAGTCTGGCTGCTCATCTGACTGGACTTCATCTGCTCCTCACAGGGACAGTGGACAGTGTCTGGCTGCTCATCCGACTGTACTTCATCTGCTCCTCACAGGGACAGTGATACAGTTGGATAAGTGCAGTATTTACTGGAGCCCAGAGACATTTATTCCCTCATCCATAATGAATGAATGGGATCTGGACTCAGACCACATTAGCAGAGAAACATCCAGAATCATTAAAGAGCCAAACATCACACTGGCTCACTGTTAATGTCAGAGCCACTGACACACACTCCAGCTGCTTAAGGTGACCCACAGCTGTGAAGAAGGACGGAAATGATGTGGTTGGACAAAAACCAAGTCCATATGAATCTCTTGACATCCTGCTGTGTTTTTATAACAGCGGCGAACAAAGGTTAACAAGTCATAAAGTTGTCGCTGGGTTTGGGAATGCTTCTATTACACAGAGAAACAGAGAGAGAAACCGCAACCAAAGACATAACTGGGGCGTGCTTTATTTAGAAGATAAAAGTTGAGGGAAATGGACGTTGCATGTGGATGTGAAATGGGTGGATGATCTATGGTTTAGAGACAGTGGCTCTGACAAATAGACAAAAATCTGAGCGGAAGGCGAAGGAGATAAAGATGCTGAGATTTTCTCTGGGAGTGACCAAAATAGATAGCATACGAAAAGAGGGACAGTTAAGGTGCAGTTTGAGGACAAAGAGGTGATGAGGTGTAGATGGCTTGGACATAGACTTAGGAGAGATATATGAGATACTGGACAAAAATGTTGGAGATAGAGATGTATGGATTTCGTGTTGAGATAGAGACAGAAGATAGAGGCAAAAGAAGAAGAAGAAGAAGGAACAAAAGGAAGAACAAGGAAAAAAGAGGAAAGAAAAGAAGAAGAAAACTTTGTATTTGGTGATTTTGTGACCGTAGATCGATAAACACCACCTGACATCTGTCAACTTCCCAGTAATTATCACCTCAAACCCCACAGCCAGAAAATCTTTAATTGCATCACTTGCAGAGTTGCATACATTTCAACAGCTAGTTCTTGTTTTTGTTTAACGTAAAAGGTGTCGCAACAGATGGCCGTTATAATCAACTTCTCGCTTGCCTGACTAATCCATACCGAACAGTAGAAACAAGTTTAACTGAGGTGAAATGGACCGAAAACAAGCTCTAGATTTTCACGCCACAAGTGTCAGTGTTGTGCATAATAAAAAAAAAGCACAAACACGTCGTCGATCAGACGGTGAGACTGAACAGAGGACAGATGGTTTACAGGTGCTCGACAGATGCCACGCTGTATTTACCGACTTTATTCACAGGACCGGGGCCACAGGTGACAGCACACAACCTTCTCTGAACCTTGAGCTGCTCTGTCAGTCAGTCAGTCTGTTGTTTTCATTATGAAGACGTCGTAATTTTTTCACTGCTCGTGTGAGGGTTCAATGCCCTAATCATTCTTTTATGCTCTATTGGATTTACCCAGCTGAGGGTCACGCAGGTTGGAGTCAGTCCCAGACATTTTCGAGTTGACGCCGAGGTTCCACCGCACCCAAGTCAGCAGTCCAATCAGCTTGGAGTAAAGAAACTGGAATGACTTTGCTCCAAGAAGATCTAACTGACTGCTGCTTCCAGAAATCTGGAATCTGACTTGTTCCACTCGCAGAGTTCTAGGTGCGAGCTGAAGCGTTGCTGGGGAACGTAGTCAAACTTAAATAGAATAAACATGGCGGACTGCCACTGTGTTAGCAGAGACGCTTTGAAGTTCTGTCTCTCCTCGTAATTAAACAAATAAAACAGAGAACAAACAGTGCGATTAGACACACCGTACGTTTCCTCCTTCATTTACATTATTGCTCAAACAGAGCTATCGCAAATATATTCGCTGAGTTGACGAAGATCAAAATATTTACATTGACTTTATCACGGTGTGTGCCGCCACTGATCCGTGGCATCCGGCCACGGCATCTCACTGTAGTTAAGGTAGATTGATTTTCCCCAACTTCACTAGAAAGACCTTTGTCAGGGATCACAGAGCATATTTGTTGAAGGGCAAGAGTTTTTCTGGAGTGACACCCTGGTGGCCGTACATTCCAATAAAACAAAATAAAAATCACACCTCAATCATATTGTTATTTGATCTTTAATTTGAAATGCGACCTTGGGAGCCATCCAATCTGGCCCTGAGGCTGCCAGCTGGTGATCACTGACCTACGTCTCCAAGTGGCACTGCAGTGCAATTGTTTTGGTGATAGGTCTTAAATTTAGGATTTCCCAGTTTCCTTTGCTGCCAGTACTTCCTCCCAGACACAGTTTCTGTGGTGAAAACACAATTCTTAGTTGTTCGTTTTTTTGCTAGTACTAGTTCCTCTGGCGATGATACACATACTTGAGGGTTTAATAATACTTCCTACTTCCTGTTTAGGACCCACACATCGTTCAGAGAACTGTCCACAGATTCTGGTGCTGATTCCTGAGCTGAAATGTTCCTCGTCCTATTTCTGGTTTCTGCAGTAAAAGACAAACATTTTGAAGGTATTGTCCCTCTCTCCTGTGTCAGAACATATAAAGTACTTAGCACTATTCCCGGTTCCTGCTGTGGAAACATTCCTCTCAGGTTCACACATTTGCACCTCCTTAAATACATGACAAGTCTCTTCATGCTGGAAAGGCCCAGAGGAAGAGATTGATTTTCACCTTGTTTAGATATTTCACACACAGAGCAGCAGGTGTAAAGAGATGGATCAGTTCCATTCAGCAGAGACTGCCGCTGCCCTGCACAGTCAAACACAACAAGTCTAATTTGGCAGAAGGACAAGGTTGACATTTGAAACGCCTGCTCTGTGGGAAAGGTAACAAGCTCACATTATGATTTCGCCACTGCAATACATGCCCTGAACTTTTCTCCGCACTCAGCACAATGTTGTCCAACGTTCTCACGCTGCATCACTCCGTGTAAATCCCACACACGACCGATGTTATCGATGAGATAATTCCCGCCAAATGCCGGCAGTTGTAGCAAACGAGGAAGAGAAGACATTTTTGTTCACAGTTTCCCTTCAAACAGATGATCTGTGGCTTGATCTTTCCATGTGTGAGGCCATATTGATCCTACCGGAAAACCCTCGGTAGCTACACGATAGGTGGAACGGCACAAGAAGTTACTTGTTTAGGATC